GTAGCAAGCCCTGAAAAGGAATGTACCTGGTGATCACAAGCACATCACCGAGGGACCGGGAGCGCGAGAGGAGGGGGGAACGGGCGAGGGAGAGGACTTGGAGAGGACAAGAGCAGGGGAGGAGAACCGGAAGGGCACAACACCAAGGTGCGTTCGCTATCTAGCCACCGGCCGCATGCGTTCGGGGTACTGACATGTGCTGTGACAGCTTACACAGTCCACTAAGCGGGACTGTGTTTTTCCGTCTGCAGCCCGTTGCATTCACGCCTGCACCCCCTGCTTCCCCCGCTGAATTCACTTGAATCAGCTCCCTGCAAGGGCCAGACACACTGTCCGAGCTCGCTTGGCCTTCGCCAAAACACTGTCCAGCTGCCCGCTTTCGCGGCTGTGTCTTCGGTAAGCCCATTGTTTTTATTTATTTTTATTCGCATGGTGACATGTATTCTAACTCTCCCCTTCTGTCCTCTGCACTCGCCCTCCCCCCTTCTCCACCCCCCATCCCCTCATCATCACCCTCAGCCCTTCAGTACCCCGGCTATTGTTTACTACACTCATATACATGTAGCTTTAGAATAGTTTTGCAATACAATTTATTCATTGTGTACATCTTTCCAGCTTAAATACTAAAGTATGTGTGTAGCACATATCTGGGAATTGTGGATTTGAACGCTAGCGAGCCAGCAATTGGCTCGCTTGCGTCGGGAGGGCGAGCGAGGATGCGACGGGGTACGTACACGCGAACGCCCCTGAGTCGTGACGCGACGCGCGGGACAGTGTTGCAGCAAACACTGTCCCGCGCAACTTCGGCATCGGCCGCGTGATGTCACGTGCGCCGGACCGTGCAATTCACGAGAGAAGCTCCTCCCATCCCATCCAAAGGGCCCCTTGCAGATATAATGCCCTGCCACAATGATAGGCACCTTCTTGACGCCCATACAGCCCCTGTCAGTGCAAAGCACCTCCCCCATAGGTAGACTACCTACGCCCGGCCGACAGAGTCTCCCCAATTGGTGTGGCAGGGGAGCCAGCGGTCCGAGGACCTCCCAAATGGGTACAGCGCAAAGTAGCGGCGGCCACGGAGGACCTCCCTACGGGGTACGGGTGGGGATCGCACCCTACTGCATGCATGGACGGGCCACCTACCAGTGCGTGACGTGGTAACAACTCGAATGGGTACACCTCGCATTTCTCGAGGACCCACCGGCAGCGGATTTTGACCTCTCGAGCCCGACCAGAGGTTCTCCCTCAGATCGGCTACGGCCCAGTGAGTGGACCCAGGGCGCAACGTTCAACCCCCGGTTCACCTTCCCGTAGCCCGGCAGCCGGTTCGCATATGCCATCTGGCGCGGATCCCCGTTTAACTGTCCGGGCTCGCCTGCCTTGCTGGGGCCACTACCGGGGTGGAATTCGCAGCACAGAGCTGCCTCGGAGTTTGGGTGATCCCAACTAACGTCCTGCACCTGCGAAGGGCACAGGAGGGGGGTGGCCTGTCCTCACGGTCGGCTTGTTTTCACCTCGTACCCCCTCTTATCGACCCCTATCCTCGCGGATCCTCTCGGGTGCAGCACTTGACATGTGCTTGGGGAGAGTGCGCACCTGGGCAGGGACGACTGGTACGGGGTGCCAGTAACCCGGCTGCTAACTCCCTTTACTAAGGGGAGGCCCCGGGACCATTTTTGAGTAGGCCAGGTGCCCACTACACCTGCCTGCCGGGGGAACAGAGGAGAGGAGACATACCAAGCGGCCAGCAAACCCAACCTGAGCTCCTTTGCCAAGGGAGTACCTGATAGCCCCTCCCATGATCCAACCGCGGCGATGGGACCTTCCGAGTGAGAATGTGAAACGGTGGGGAGTTGGGAGGGCGACCCGAAAGCGATGCGGGATGGTCGCCGAATAATTTAGTGGAGGGAGGGACGCGGGAGGTTTCCCACGGTGGATGGTGGTGGTAACGGGAAAAGGAAGGTTGTCCAAGGCTTCATGTATGGTTGCAGAAGAGCTTATACTATGTCTGACAAACAAGAACAGGGCCTGTTGAACGTCTAAAGCGAGAGACGGAAACAAAATATCTGATTTCATTGCGGGTTCCGGCATATTACCCGAATACCGAGCCCGTACCGACAGTTAACAAAGTAACTTGCGGAGCTAACTTGCTCCGCCAAAAGTTACTTGCAAGTTACTTCAAGTAACTTATGGCGGGCACAAGTTAGCTCCGCAAGTTAGCTCCGCACTTTGCGGGTGGGAACGAACTTTTGCTAACTTTTGCCAACTTACGTTGAATTTCTCTTTCAAAAGGGATGTAAATTTGTGTTGCAGACGTCTACATAGATGCAATGTCCAGTTTATATAATTACGAGGGTCTCCAGAGGCAGAAAACACCTATTTGCGATACAAATACACTTCTTTGGTCAAGTTAGCTGCAAGTTAGATTACTCGTATATTCAAAATTATGCCCGGCTTGGCATTGTACATGTTTGGCTCTGTGGCTGTGGCATATCTCGCGTCAGTGCTCGGTATTTGTATACGATGTAGGGCTCTGGACTGCACGACAGATATCCACGGGCACTGTCTACTCGTGTTCGAGTTTTCCTTTCCAGTACAATGGGATGGCGATTCTCAGCGAGCAACATGGTAGGACAAGATCCTTAAGTGCCGTAGCGCAGCGAGGCTGCCTTGTACAAGTTACTTTTGCGGACGACAGACTGAACTTGTGTGCAAAGTTAGCAGTAAGATGGTGATTTCCTGTTTGTGGCGTGATGGCTTGCATGATTCTCAATGGCAGTTGTCACCAAAATGCTGCAATTCCATTGACAGGTGACAGCGCTTGCGCAGATTCTACTTAGATTATTATTTGCAAAGCTCCCATTGTGCGACTCAGAACGACCCATTGTTTGCTATCTACACCTCAAAATAACTAGCCTTAGATTGGAATCTACAGTATGTAGTGTAAGATCTCGGAGAACACTCAAGCTAAAGTGCTGCATTATATCTGCTTATTCTGGCTTGACATATTTAAAGTTTAAATTTGCAGAACTAGTCGAAGCATGAGGTAGACGACACAGCACTGGAAAGCGAGCTTGAAGAACCTTAAACAGGTTAAGCACATTAATCTTAGTCTGTCGTTATGCCCTAACTTCCATTCAATGAGCTGCTATGAGAGGACGAACTAAAAAGTAACTGGGTACAAGTTATAAGTTAGATTGTTGACGCGTGGGAATAAGTTATCCAAGTTAACTTGGCTGATTTGGCGGGCAAAAGTTAGCAAAAGTACGCGGCGCAAGTAACTTGGCGCACTCTCGTACCGTAGCTGTGTGAGATCACATTGATAACTTCGATGGAAAGTGCCAGAGCGTACTAGTAGCACGACACGTCTTGTACGTTATCATGTTTGACTGATTTCTGTAACGTTGGGCTGATTTGCAATATTTGAAGTACCCCTTCCGCCACTACACCACCTGCTGTTCACATAAATGAAAACGTGTTTTTTTTATTAACGAGCTCCTCCGCGACATTCATAACAGCTACTACATTCCTGAGAGATTTTTCTGGGCATGCACTGGAGGGCCAGTGGAGGCAGGCGCCAGCTTTGGAGTGATGGTCGACATGTCGAGAAGACTGATGCCGGCTTCATTGTTTCGGACGTTACCAGCCGCAAACCAGTCGAGGACTTCAAATACTCTTACCATATCATTGCTAATAAACCGGATTGGTTTGGCTGTGGCTTTACACGTGAGCGTCGAATTTTTGATTCGGTCTGCTCGAAGCCTCATTGACACTCTCACTCTTAGCATCATCTTCGCAGTGGGCCAATGAGATGCCCCATCCCTATCGTGCCAAGGCAGATGGGAGGATGGTGTACTCTGTTCCAATCATTATTTTCCTTGATGACGTCTCAGGTAATATATCGAAGCAGTGGAATAAACACCATGCTGTCTATATGTCAAACGGCAACCTCCCCCGTGAAATGCTGGAGAAAGGGTTCTGTATCCGATATGTATCATCATCTCCGCATGCAAGCCCTATGGATCTGTTGCGAGGGGTGCGAGAATCTGTCGAGTACGTGACCTTTGATAGCTGCACGGGACGGCATTGAGGCATACGATTGCTTGTATGACAAGAGGGTGCTATTAGTGGCATCCATTGTTTTCTTGGCTGGCGACAATCCAATGCAAGCCGAGCAGTGCAGCCAGTCAGGGCTAGCCAGCAACCATTTTTGTCGGACTTGCACAGTTGGAGGCACGCAGGAGTTCAAGCACAGCGACGAGGGATACAACAGCCTATTTGAGGTATGCACTCACTTCCGTTTATTGTCATTTCTACAGTTCCTGACGCATAGAATCCGGCTGGGTGGGCTAGACTGGCGAGCCAAGACACAAACAAGCGACGGTAGAATGTATTGAGGAGCAGTTTGATCTTGCTCTGAAATCAGGGGCTGCTGACAAACTTCAGAAGAAGGTCCAGTCAACCGGCACGCGCGACGCGACGACAACTGCTGTGCTAAACGCTGTGGTTGAACTGGGGAAGAGTCTACGAAAACGCCGGAAGGGTTCTTCAAGAATGACCGAGGCTAAGGTAACCGAGGTGCTACAAGACGAGCTCGAGCGAAACCTCCGTGGATTTTCTATCCGCGACTCCATAATCCACTTCTGGGGATACTGGGTAGGGTTCTTATTGTTTTTCAGCATCTATTGACGTGGCTGGGTAGTTGCAGCATTCGATCCTCATACCGACACACCAACGGAGGTCCTTCACACCGTCCTCCTTGGTGTCGTCAAGTACTTTTGGGGTCAAACGGCATGGCTTCTCAACCGCGACCACCTTCTGGAACGATTCCGCAGTCGCCTGGATTCACTCTCAGCTGATGGACTCAATGCTCCGAATCTCGGCGCAGACTACATTTGCCGTTGCCGGGGTGGTCTCATTGGCAAACATTTCAAGAGCTTAGCGCAAGTAATGCCTTTTTTAATTTATGATCTGGTGCCCAAGGCTGTCCTCGATGCGTGGACGCTCATCGGGGAGCTTGTTGTCTTGATCTGGCATACGAAGATTGATAATACCAAAGTTTATACAGTGAGCCTTATTAATTCAAAGTCAATGTATATTCTCAGCTCACTTTTCGATCTGTAGGCACGTCTATCTCGGGTAATCGAAGATTTTCTCAATGTCACTGCGCAGTGCGCTCCGAAGATTCTCATCAGTAAACCAAAGTTTCATTTCTTGCTTCATCTACCATTCTATATTCTGCGCTTTGGACCGGCCATCCTCTTCTCGACGGAGCGTTACGAATCTTTCAACCACGTCTTCCGCCTGACTTGCATCTACAGCAACCGGCAAGCCCCATCACGCGACTCTTGCCTCATCTTTGCTCAGCAAGATGTTATCAAGCATGTCGCAACTGGCGGATTCTGGCATGACCCCAAGAAGCAGGACTGGGTTCGCGCTGGTCCTGCCATCCAGAAGTATGTCACTGACCACCCAGATCTCTTGTACGGGCATGGTGTACCCAAAGAAGAATCAGTGATCCCTGGTATGTTGATCTTTTTGAAGGTTCAGAAAGGAAGCTCACGCTACGTTTTATACAGGAACCGGTAGACCGACAGAAAATCAGAAGGCACGAGACGGCCCATCAAAATCTGGGCTTGTAATGTGGAAATCATCAACGTGCTCGCAGATACTTCGGACAACATCGCTGGCACCAGCAGCAGAGACAACATTCATCGCAGGGTTATCTATGATTGCACGTGAAGGAGACACGGCACGCGTGGACAACTCTGTCGTTATTCACCTGGATGACCACTATTCTCTTGCACGCATCCGAGAAATCCTGATACACAACCAACCTTCGCATCCAGTGTCTCATGTCGCTGTCGAGCACTACGCAATTGATGACCACCTACATCCTCAACTACTCCTGCCACAGATTAAACTGACAGGCAAGCTATCGGTGCTTGATGCTACAGTGAGTTCATCATAACATCGTGTACCACCATTCACCCTCAGTACAACTTTTCAGAGCATTGTTTGTGTTGCTAACGTACAACACAACT